CTTTATTACTCATGAAATTAAGCTTGGATTTCCAAACAGCTGGGACATGGTAGCAGGGCTCTACTGTTTGAGTTTGAGACCCTTTTATCTCCCAAGAGAATTCAGGAACATTTTGATCTGTGTTGTTTACGTTCCGCCTTCGGCCAAGGCAGCAAACGCCGCGGGCGTTATAAGAGACTGTATTCAAACCCAACTTCAATCAACACCAGGAGCGCCGGTTTTTATTCTTGGTGATTTTAACCATTGTAAATTAGTGTCACGAATCCGGTCCATGAACTTTCCTTTTCATTGACTCTCGCACCACACAAACTGTTGCATAGCACCCCGGACTACATTTCCCATCATGCATTGCACTGATTGCACTCAGCACGAATTGCACACACCTGTTTACACTGATTGCACCCAGCTGTTTCATATCACTCCCTCACTATTTAACACTCACTCTGATCCCTTCCCTCTGCCGAGTATTGTTTCAGCATTTATCACTCTCCTAGAGATAGCTACCTTACGGAGCCCTTGTCATAGCCTTAGCCCTAGTCGTTTGCCTTAGTCTTAGCCCTAGTCGTTTGCCTTAGCCTTAGCCCTAGTCATTAGCCTTAGCCTTAGCCTTCCCGGTTTCTGATCTTCGCCTGGTTCCCTGGATTCACCCCTTTTGTCTTGCCCCTTTTGATTCTGTCTGCCGATCGTCGACCTGTGCTAGCCCTAGGACTATTCTTGTGTTTTGCCCACCATATACCTGTTTGCCCTCATCTGACCCATGCCTGCTGTATGACCACGTCTCTGTCTGTGTCTAATAAAGCTCTGCGAATGGATCCGAAAGTCTCACGTCTCGTCAGCCCCGTAACAATTAGAGACAGTTCTCTCCGGGTATGAACAGTGTTAAAGACAACACAAGAGAAAATTATGTTTTAGATAAATGCTATGGGAACATAAAAGAGGCATACACATCCAGACTAAGGCCTCCTTTATCGAACTACGATCACAACACTGTGTTTTTAATTCCGACATATAAGACTCTGTTGAAGAGATACAAACCCGTGGTGAAAAATGTTAATGTGTAGTCAAAGGACAGTGTTGAAGCCTTGACAGGTTGTTTTCTTTGCACTGATTGGGACATTTTCCATAGTGATGATATTGATGAAACTACTATGGTAATGACAGATTATATAAAATTTTGCACCGATAATGTGATACCCAAAAAGGAAGTGATCATTTTATGCTAACAATAAACCTTGCATAACTAAAGAGATCAAAGACTGTATTAACAGGAAGAAACTGGCTTTTCGCAGTCATGATTGTCTTGGAGTAAGAGCTGTTCATAAGGAGTTGAATGGCTTACTAAGAGATGCCAGGACGAAACATAAAGAACTCCTGGAGAACAAGCTGAGTATGTCTAATCCTAAACAGCTGTGGGACTCTATGAAATCTATAACTAATATGCAGTCTTATATACTGTTAAATACTGTTTCTATTTTTGATGACTTACAGAAAGTGAATGATTTAAACTATTTTTATCTAAGATTTGAGAAGCATGGGCATATCTCTGGGAATAGTATTGGTGTAAGGGATTTTTCTCCCGATATCATCAAAGATAAGTTATTGATTCATCCGAAACGGATTAATTTCTATTTTAAACATATCTGTTCAAAGAAATCGGCAGGCCCGGATGGAATTTCTCCCTATATTGTTAAGTGTTGTGCAGATGAATTGACTCCAGCTTGGCTTCCTATATTTCAACAATCTTTGGATTCAGGTATTGTTCCCAGTTTGTGGAAAAGAACATTGATTATACCTGTTCCTAAGATAGCTAGGCCTTTAGAGAATAATGATTTTAGACCGGTTGCATTAACATCTGTGATTATGAAATGTTTTGAAAAGTGTGTTGTATCTATGTTGAAAGCAGAGGTTGCTAGTAATCTAGATCCTTTACAGTTTGCCTATAGACAAGGGAAAGGAACTGAAGATGCTATTAACAGCATTATGCACTTGATTTTGAAGCATTTAGAAGATCCTAAAGCTTATGCTCGGTTACTGTTTGTTGATTTTGCTCCGCTTTTAACACGATTCAACCGCATGTGTTAATTGATCAAATGAAGCAGCTGAGTGTAAGTGGTACTATTCTTTTTTAACAAATAGTACTCAATATGTAAAGGTAAACAATCTTCTTTCATATCAAAATAGTAGTACAGGTGTTCCACAAGGCTGCATCAGTTCACCTATTCTTTTTACAAATGAATGCTTAAGTAGGCATTCACAAAATTGTATTTTTAAATATTCAGATGACACAGCCATACTAAGTCTACTCCATGTGCATGACAATATTAGCACTATTTACCAGTCAGAGATAAGTCAGTTTGTTGACTGGTGTGATAAAAATGAGCTAATAATAAATACAAAGAAAACGGAAGAGATTGTATTTGATCCAAAATGTATAGGTGACCATCGCCAAGTGGTTATACATGATCATAATATTATTCAGTCACAGTATTTGGGCGTTTACATAGATAGTTCACTTACATGGAAAACACACATTGAATGGGTTTGCACTCGACTACAACAGAGATTGTATTTCTTATGTAGGTTACGTCTCTATGGAGTAAACAAGAATCTTATGCTGCTGTTTTATAAAGCTGTTTTAGAAAGTATTGTTAGGTATGGTATCACAGTGTGGTTTGGTAACCTATCAGTACAGTTTAAATCTAAGTTGATGCACCTGTTATTGACAGCATGGAGAATTGTTGGGCATGATGAACATTTTAACCTTCAAGATTTATATGAGGAATGTGTTCTTAATCAGGTAGAGAGGATTCTTGGTGATCAAACTCATTTCTTGTATTTACAATATGAACTAATTCCCTCTGGCAGAAGATATAGAATCCCAATGTGTAAGTTAAATCGATATAAGAATTCCTTTGTACCTGTATCGGTGCAGTTGTGTAACAAGAGTTCATCTTGATTTTATTTTCTTGATTTTACTTAATTTTGTTTTTATATGTTTATTGTATGTCTGCAGCAACATGTAGTCCATAACAATTTTCCTCTTGAGCACAATAAAGTATACTACTACTACTACTACTACAACTACAGTGCGACCATTTCACTACTGCGTGCAACTATGAAAAAATATTTAGGAGCACCAGTGTGACTGACCCGATCAGCATATTTGTGTATGTGCTCAGGGGGGTGTCAAAGGTTTCTACGTGTTTTTGCAGCTTTGAGTAATGTATCACAGACATAACTGTTGATTCCTTGAACACAATTTTAATCAGAATCCACTCACTGCTCAAAACACTGGCATTTTGTTCAGTGCTGAGTTCTGCAAACTCACAAATGATCAATAAGATCTTCATTGTTCAGTGCAGGGAGCTTCGTTGATTATGGAACTTTGTGAGATCGCGATGAACTAAGGAGAGTGACAGCTTTAATAATTAATAAAGGAGTTTGCAAATGTGATACTGATTTAGTACAACAGTTCAATAAACAAGAAGTTAATGTTAAGTGACTTACATTCTCTGACTATAACACTATTGCCTGATTTTGCTCTATTTCGTCAGTGAAAATAGTTTCAAACAAAGTCGCAGTTGAGCCGCTGCACATCTCCCAGCAAACACAGCAGTGTTTTTAGTTTATGAATGAACATGCATTTTTAAATAAATCTAGTGAGTCGGTGATTCATGATTTCCCATTCATAAAGACAGTCACTTGCTTCATTCCTGAAAGAGTCAGCTGTTCGAACAAATCAATTGAATGAATGATTCAGTAATAAAGTGACTTGCCACCACATACAGTTTTAGTTTCATTTTTTAAAAGTATAATTTCAGTTATTCAAATCATTTAATATTTCCATATTCAAAATTGTATATTTAAAACATCAATCTCAACATGAATTTTTGAATTTAATTGCACTCATGTCACCTCTGAGCCTCATTATACGTCTGAAAATACACCTACAAGCCACTTTTGTGTTCTTCTGTGCCACCTCTGTATTACAACTTAATTTTGTTAATACTGATTTGTAAATTATTCTTCTTATTCTATTCTTTTAATTAGAAATGTTAAAAAGCTTATAAATATACATTTTTGAATTTGACATAAAAGATGACACTTGTAATAAATTTAGAAAAATGCCATTACAAAGGTCAAAAGAAAAAATGTCACCTCGTATGCCGGGAAGGTTGATTTTTGATCAGAATTTTTGATTATTGATCAGAAGGTGCTCCTAAATTTTTTTAATGAAAAGAAAGTAAGCATAGGACCCTGTGTATGTGTGTTCTCGGCCTTGTTTTTCTAACGTCACCCCATCACTCAGTGTGTTTGACAAGGTAAAAGGTAAAGTGAGTGATGAGTGGGCTCTCTGTCGCTGAGGATGAGTGAGGTGAGACCTTGGAGAAGCACATCTACTATGGTAGAATCGAAACTATGAGGCAGATGCAGGCTGACAGCAGATCCAGAATAAATGATCACCCTCCTTCAACTGATTCTGATGATGATGAACACAGGTTTTTGGAACCGTGTTCTACCACAACACATTTAGCAATAGGGTGGGTTAGACTGTTCTCAGCATGTCTTTTGTGCACCATCTAGTGGCTAATAAGGTAAATGTATTATTGTATATACATTTATAATTTATATATTTATATACATTTAAAAATATATTACAAGATATTATGTGAAGTATTTCATATAGAAATATGAATACATAGATGTATTTTTTTATTTTTTGTACAATTTATGACAAATCATGCACTAAATATTTTTGGACCCCACTGTATATATATAGAAATATGTTTTTATATAAAAATAATGATTTGATTAATTTGATCATCTATATTAAATATACATTACATAAAATATTTTATATAAAATATTGGTATATAAATAAATATTTTATACAATTTATAACAAAAATAAAAAATGTTGAAGCAGATTACCATTCCAGAAGCAATAAACATATCTATAAAGTGCATTAATAATGTCCAAAAAGTGCATGTGAGACTCACGGCAGGTTGATCCAGGCCTCAGGGTAGATGCTGTTCTCTTTTAGGAGGTTGTGACTGAGATCTAACACCTTCAGGTGGACACACTTATCCAAAAGCCTGTCCTGCACCTCCACTATTTGATTGTCCTGCAACCTCAGGTCCTGCAAATACACCAAGATTATCAAAATGTAGAAACCATAAACCTATACAGAGAAGCAGGTGACTGAAACATTGGCTAGGTTGCAGAACTGACCTCTATAGATGGGGGCAAGTCTGCTGGGATAGCACTGAATCTGTTTTTATTCAGTCGTAAAAACTTGAGTGCCTTCAGAGGTTTGAAAGCCCAGGGTGCAATGCTGCCCTCATAGAGAATGTTTCCTGTCAGTTCTAAGACTTTTAGGTTAGGCAGGCCTGCAGAAAACAAAATGTTATTATTAGTAACTTAAGTTAAAGGTGTATCAGTAATTTATTTTTATTTTGAAATATCCTAGACTTATTCTGACACCTAATGATGTGGATGTAACAAAAAAAAAGTTTTCAGTTGTTAAAGGGGTCATATGATGCGATTTAATTTTTTCCTTTCTCTTTGGAGTGTTACAAGTTTTTGGTGCATAAAGAAGATCTGTAAATTTGCAAAGACTAAAGTCTCAAATCCAAAGAGATATACTTTATAAAAGTTAAGAGTTAACCACGCCTACCTAAAACGGCTCGTTCGAACACGCCCCCACATGTCTACCTCACTATGTGAGAAGATTTGCATAACGCCGCCCAAATGTTCACGCAAAGAAAGAAGGCGTAACTTTTATTCTCGCAGTAGTATTGTTGCCGCTGCCGCCATGTCCTGAAGACGCTGTGTGTTTCATTGTGAAAGCGAAACTACTTTGTTTGGTCCGCTTCGTCATGCCTGGAGCTGATCCGTGCTGGTCGCTGAGGAAATACATCAACTTAGTGCTGTGGATCGCCGGCACATTTTATGGAGGATTGTTTACTGATCCTGGGAGAGTAACGTTAGACTAAAATGCCGGCAGTTCTGACTCACGTAAGTACGTTTTCTTTTATCATTTGCCACTGATGATTCAAACGCGAGTTTTGGCCAGTGTGGAGTAGCACTTGTTGTTTGTCATTTCTCTGATCACAAATGCAGACAGGGTTTTATGTTTACGTGGCACGATGCAATGCAACGCAATGTGTAAAAAGACAGTATAAGTCATGATAATCAGTAATTATGTCCCCACTGGATGCAACAAATGCTTCGTTTATAATGGGTTTTAATGTTTTTGTGTCGTCGTCTGGCTGGGACACGGCATCACAGTATGGTGAGGGGCGTAACATTTCCGTCTCACGCTTGAGGTATTCAGCCAATCACAACACACTGGATAGCTGACCAATCACAGCACACCTCGCTTTTTCAGACCGATGAGTTTTGTAAAAATCAACGCGTTTCAAAAAGGCGGGGCATAGAGGAGAAACAATAATGTACAGTATGTGGAAAATAATGTGTGTTTTTTTTTTACTTTAAACCGCATAAACACATTTCATTACACCAAATATACAAAATAATGTTCTTTTTAGCAGCATCATATGACCCCTTTAAAAATTATTGTTCAAATGATCTATTAGCAGTCAGTCATGATTTATTTAAGGCTGGAATACGCTACATGACTTTTAAAATCTGAACAGATTTTAAAACAATAGGCATTATACCAACTTTTTAAATAGTTACAGTTGAAAAACTGTGCTTCATACACTAAACAATGAACAGACTACCAGACTTTCAAGTTGTTCCGAACACAAAAAAAACTGTTGCTATGAGAGACAAGTGACAAATTAAAATATTATGTGTCACTATATAGGCTCAAAATATAAAACATGTTTGATTTCCTCCGACTGTATGGAATCATCGTCTGAAGATAAAAAAATCGGAGTCTGCTCATCATATACAACATGATTTTCTGTGAAATCTGTCAGCTCAAATCTGCAGACTGTCTCTGACTTTAGGCATCTAGCGTCAACTTTTTCAGACTGTAAATCGGGGCAAAAATCAGCAGTGTATTCCAGCCTTTAGGTGTATCTTGAGAACAAAAATGTCCAGCAGCAGGGAAAAGAGCTTTTATTCAGCTAATGATATGAGATTAGATTATATCTCCTGTGAGTGTAAATTATTTAAAATATCTTTTTCAAAAGTACTACTCAAAAGTACTTTTTTTGAGGGAAAAAATTTACAAAGAACTGAACTGAATAAACTCGTGTTTGTGCAGCTGGCATGAAAACAGCACAAACCTTTGAAGCTGTGTGAAGCCAGTTGGTTTATTTTATTGTTGTTTATCTTTAGATCCTCCAAAGAAGATGGCAAGCGTGGAATTGTTGTAAGTTCATTGCTGTCAAGTTTCAGACTCTTCAGCTTTGTCAAATTCTGTTAAAAGAGCAGAAAAATGCTTGTCTACTTTGTACTTTGTGGTTACATCCTGTCTGTTTTGGGCCTAGGGAATTATGAGCCTAAATTTGAACACAGCAGTGTTTCCACTGTGCCTACCACCAAATGAAAAGTCTCATTTGCACATGTTTGTCCAGTTATTTTAATGTTAAGACATGTATTTCAAACATTGCTGCCCCAGACTATCGGACCTGCCTGACTCCAGCTTCTTCTCATTTGTGGAACAACATAAATACTGTTGTGCACTGTAAATTGTGCACTCATTTCCCTCAATAAAGAGCATTTACTCTTTATGCTAATTTCACCGACATTTCACACAGTGGCATTTTCCTCTGGTCAAACTGCGGTTCCTATTTTCATGCTGCTGAGTTTGCTTTGGGAGTGGTGTGTTTGGTCTCTTCTTAAGGTCTCCTACTGGGAAATCCGGACTTATCTTGGCTGAACTTATGATTAGCAGTTATAATTTGAAACTTTTAATTTGTATGTTTTTGAAAATCCTGACTAGGATGGAATTATTTTTAGATTTGATGTAGACATGTACAGTACATACACTTTAAAGATTATAGGAGTATATAGCTGGTGTAATTGAAGGGATAAAAAATGCCAGTACCATGAAAAGACTTTGGCCGAAAGAAGAGTCGTCCAGCTTGTTCAAACTTAGGTCAAGCTCTTCAAGATTTGGCAGTTCGGAAAAACCACGAGGAGGAATTCTTGTTAAGTTATTTCCTGTACGACAGCACATTGGTTAAAATGTTGAATGGCTGTGCTTATTACAAGACACAAGCAACATAAACTATAGAGCATCTCAGCGATGCATATACTTTTGTTGGATCTTTCAGCCTTTCCAAACCTTACCAGGCAGTTCAAGGATGGTGACTTCCAGGTTTGTGATGACTGGCAGGTGGGACAAGCCAATCTGCTTGCAGGATATTCGACTTTCTGCCAGTTGGCAGCCTTCTGGTAATGAGTCTTGGGTCGAAGTGCTGTTAGATGCATCATTCTCCTCCTCTTCGGCTGCCTCTTCTTCCTTTCCCTCCTCCTCCTCTTCTTCTTCTTCCTCCTCCTCCTCTTCTTCTTCCGCATCATCATCATCATCTTCTTCTTCTTCTTCATCATCCTCTTCCTTTTTCTTTGCTTTCTGTTCTTCCCCTTGGTCCATGAGGCGTCTTTTCTCCTCCCTGAGTTCCCTCAAGACTGCATTTAGTTTCCCTGCGGCTCCGCCCCATCTCTCCAACACAGCATTGAGCTCCACCCACACAGCCTCGGTTCGCCCCATGACTGACTGATGGGACACACAGAAGGAACACAGCAGGAATCGAGCCCATTAGTGACACAGGAATGAACAGAAACACGCTTAACAAACTAAACAAACTAAATATAGTGGACAAATAGCACAGGCAGAAATAAAGGAGGTGGAAAATGAGAGGCTGAGCATTAAGGCAGGATGCAAAAATAGACTTATAATTAGCATTTATGGTATGGTTGTGCTATCTTGGACTGCCAGAATACACATACTTGTTCCACTGTAACAACAGTAGCAGCCATGTGCAGCAAACAGGCATTACTATAGTACACAAGTATGGTCATGAATTCAATATTTACTGTTTTCTATTTATTTCACCAAACTTTGATGTTAGAAACCTGATTGGTTTGACTCCAGAAATACAAACTCACCTGCGTATCTGTGGCAGTGTCGCTTACTTGCCTTGTTCTTTGTGCTTCATTGGTTCTCTTTTCATCTGCTAATGCAGCCATGATTCAACACAAGAATAACAAAATCAGTTAATTCAGAACCATGTGTGAAGCAACAGCTGCACTGCTGACAGAAGAAGCTACACATACACTACCATTCAAAAGTTTGGGGTAAGTTTTTCTTAAATAAATTACTATTTTTATTCAGCAAAATGCATAAAATTAATCAAAGTGACAGTAAAGATTTTTACAGGGTTTTACATTTCAAATAAAAGCTGTTTCTGCAAAAAAAAATATTAAGCAGCACAACTGTTTTCAACATTGATAATAAGTAATGTTTCTTGTGCAGCAAATCAGCATATTCGGAATACTGGAGTAATGATTGCTAAACATTCAGCTTTGCCAACACAGGGATAAATTACATTATAAAATATATTCAAATAGAAAACAGGTATAGAACATTGTAATAGTACTGTATTTTTATGCAAAACCTTTTTCAAAAATATTTTTACCGACCCCAAACATTTGAACAGTAATGTATTGTACTGTATTGTGCAATGTAACGTATAGTGGATCATGTTCATAGATGTTGTGAATAACTACACCTGTGATTACTCTTCTAGGACACCTGTGGGAACTTGAGGAGAACGACAGTAACTTTTACCTAAAATTACCTTTAAGACCAAGTTATTGTACATTTGGAAAATATATATAAAAAAATTTATTAAAAAAATTAGAGAAAAGCCATAATTTCTTTGCAAATACCATCTGCTTTCATATTTTGTTATCTAATGCAATACAATTCATCCATTTTAAATGAATTGTCATTAAGTATTAAAATAATTTACTGTAGGTTTCACACACATGGCCAAATATTTAAGGAACTTTTCAACAATTTAAACTATTTTGTGGTAGATACAGTCTATCAAAAAAAAAAACTGTAAAGGAAGTTGCATTTACCTCTCTTTATTTCTATCAAAATATTCTTTGATTCTCTGTAACTTTAGTTTAGAACTTTATCCTAGTTCAAAAACACTTCAATAAACATTAACAAAGTATAACAGACACCACAAACTATTCACAGTGGTCTTGTCTGACCATTCCTGGGACTGCATCCTGTGTCACTGCTCTTGAAATTATAATTGCTGATCTACTCACTAGGTGCAGATGAAGAATCCAGTGGTTGATGCTGTGAGGATGAAACATCTGTCTCAGGTGAAAATGTGATAAGTGAATTCAGTTCATTCAGGACTTCTCCTTCCACAGATAAAGCTCCAAAGAACACGAAAAACACCAAAAGAGCCTGCATGATTCTGATCGGATCTGTTCAGATGCTCCCCGTGTACCTGCAGGCTCACCTCTAGCTGCCCTCTTAAATTCCCTCTTAGTCAGCAGTGAGAAAGAGGAGGAGGAGGAGGAGAAAACAGGGAGGAGATGGTTAGACATGTACAAGGACCTTCATTGCCAGGAGTTCACAAAAATATCAACTCCTCCTTATAAAGTCAACGGTTGTGCCACTGCCAACAAACACTAGAGTTCGGGACAGAAAGAGAGAGAGAGGCAGAGGAATGATGGTCAATGTCAGTCACGTCATACCACAATGACAAAGTGTTCACACCTTGTAGCACTTGAGATGGACAAATGAGAGAGTTATCCAAACAAGAGGGCAGCGAGCGAGCAGCCTGACTAAACCATACAGAGATATCTCTCCGGCTCCACGTCTCATCCTCAACATGTTCCTGCCTGGCATGCTGCCATTAGCATGTATGTAAGAAAAAGTAAAAGACCTTGCCAAAAGAGAAAGACATGGTTCTCTAACTCATAAAACAAACAGATGGAGGCAGACAGGCATACAGACAAATGCTATGTGTTTTCAAAGCATACAGTTACACACTCCTCTCGTTTATGGAGATTATCGGCTGGTTTATATATAGTGTCACATTTAAAATGTCTGAATGTCAAAGAATTCGATAATTAGACTGCAATGCTTGTGATTACTTTAAAATAAATTCCACTAGGTTAGATATTTTGTTTTCGAGACCAATGACATTCATACATTTTACGTTTGGCACCAGTGTCCAAATACGTTTTTGTGTAAAAGTTCTGTAAACACTATCTTTTTAATTTCACTCATTAGTGTGAAATCAGAGATTTGAGAAATCTGTGGGGGAGGAAAGAAGGATGTTTTAAAAAAAAGCCAGATTTTCAGTTGAATGAGGGCCTCACAGACACATACAGTGCCTTGCGAAAATATTCATACCCCTTCATTTTTTTTCACATTTTGTTAATGGGATTTGTATGGGATTACTTTTTTCCCACATCAATCTACACTCCATACACCATAACTGTAAAGCAAAAAACAGGTTTTTAATATCTTTGCAAATTTATTAGAAATAAAAAACTTAAATGATTCCATTGCATAAGTATCTGGGACAGTTGAAATTTTGCTCAGGAGCATTCATATTGCTCGTAGATGTTACTACACTTTAAGTGAAGTTAGTCTGTGGCAAATTCAATTGAATGGGTATGATTTGCAAAGGCACACACATTTTAATAAAAGGTCTAACAGCTGATAATGCATATCAGAGTAAAAACCCAGCCCTGAGGTCAAAAGAACTGCCTGTAGAGCTCAGAAACAGGTTTGTGTCAAGCCACACATCTGGGGAAGATTTCAGAAAAAAAATCTGCTTCATTGAAGGGTCACAGAAGCATGTAGTCTCCGTTACCCTTAATGGAAGAAGTTTGAAACAACCAGGACTCTTCCTAGAGCTGGCCTTCTCGCCAAACTGAGCAACTGATGGAGAAGGGTCTTGGTTAGCATGGTGACCAAGAACATGATGGTCACTCTAGGTGAGCTCCATGATCATATATGCGGATGGGAGAAATCTACAGAAGGACAAATATCACTGCAACACTCCACCGATCTGGGCTTTATGGCGACGTGGCAAGACTCAATCCTCTCTTTAGTGAAGACACATGAAAACACACTTGGATTTTGCATAAAAACTCCTAAAGGACCCCCAGACTGTGAGAAACAAGATTATCTGGTCTGATGAACCTCAATTCCAAGCATCATGTTTGAAGGAAACCAGGCACTGCTCATCACCTAAAGAGAACCACCCTAAAAATAAAGTGTGCTGGTAGCAGCCTCATGCTGTGGGGCTGTTTTTCAGTGGCAGGGACCGAGGGACTCGTCAGAGTAGAAGATAAGCTCAAAGCACCAAAATATAGAGATAGCCTTAGAACCTGAGCTTGAACCCAATGAATTATTTCTGGAGAAACCTGAAAATGTGTGTCTGCCCCCATCCAACCTGACAGAGCTTGAGAGGTGAAGAGGTGAGGAGAAGAATGGCAGATAATTGCCAAATGATGATGAGAAAAGCTTGTTGCATCAAACAAAAAATACTTGAGACTGTAAAGGTGCTTCAGCTAAATATTTAGTTAAGGGTATGAATACTTATGCAATGTACTTATTTCAGTTTTTTTATTTTTAATAAATTTACGAAGTTATGACAATTCTGTTTTTGCTTTGTCAATATGGTGTATGGAGTGTAGATTGGTGTGGAAAAAAAGAGTAATTTAAAGCAGTTTAACATAAGGCAACAACATAACAAAATGTGAAAAAAATGATACTTTCGCAAGGCACTGTACAAATAGACAAGCTCTCAGGGTCACAGTGTATAGGGAGAGATTGTTTGCATTTACATTCACACCATAAAGTATCACTGCACAGCGAGATATTGCCTTGCGACTGTTTAAATTTGCTCAGACAACATGGGATACAAAATGGGCAACAACTGTGTACGTTGACATAGGAAGCATATTTTTTATGTGCACACCTTGAGGCATCTTCATACCTCTTTTTCAGGTTTCTTACCAGTTTTAATCTGATTGGCATTATATATCAGATATCATTACAAATTTGAATTCATATTATTATATTTTTAACTTAATTTTATTAAAAGCGAACATACAAAAAAAGTTTATAAATTACAATTTTGTTTTACATTTTATTTCAGTTTTAAACATATTAAATGTTTATTTTATATATATATATATATATATATATATATAAACCACTAAAAGTATAGACAATTTAATTGTCTTCACTTTCAAACATGTCCATTTCTCCCAGTAACTTAAAAGAAATTAAAGCCCTTAACATTGTTTTTGTTTGATTGTTTAATACATAATTTACTGGGAAAATACATTTTTTAGCCTAAATAACAATTTAAATAGTAACTCAATATGCAGTTGCACAAAATTTAAGCTACCCATTTTTAAAATGACTTTTTCTAATATTCTCCCTTGACAACCAAGATCCCTTTTAAATGGATGACCCTGTATTTCTGTCCAAACAAACTGTGGGTAAGAGTTAGACAGTATCTGTAATTTTATGCTATCTGGCTAAACCACTTTGCCAGACTGCTGCTCCTTGTACAAATATCTGTCTGTAGTGAGTCACTGGTGTGAGTGTGTTCTGCTGACCTGTCCGGTGTCCAACCCCACTTTATCCTCATTGTTCTGTCCAACACACGCCTTCTGAACCTCAGTGTTTCAGCTGTTACATGTTCTCAAGATGAGGTGGTTGTGTCATTGTATGCTGGTCATGGAGAGAGCTGCTGAGAACATGGGCAGAGAAAATGCAGCAAAAGTTTATAAATTGTGATGGCAAAATTAACCACAATCCTTACGCTTCCATACTTATTATGAAATAATACCACTATTTGTCTATTGTACGTGTTGAATTGTACGTGTGTGTGTTTTGTAATCTCTTACTTTAATAGTCTTTTAAGGGAAGGTTCATGGCTAGTTGGTGGTTCTTAATTTAGACCAGAGGGATCCAGAATAGCATAGTGTATCATTGTGATGTCAGCACCAGAGGCATTAGTCTATGCTGGAAGCTTTCATGCTGCTTGTGGCAGCAACCATGATACTGATGCAGTCTGATTTTGACATAAAATACTGATTGATTTGTAGAGAAAGATAACGAGGGGGGAAAAACCCAACAACAAATGATTCTGAATTATAAGATTGTTGCAAACACAATAAGATCAGAAATTGACATATCACTTTCAGTCAGGACTGATGTAATAATTCACAAATTAAGTTCACATATTTTCAAGCAGCTCAAGCAAAAGATATGACTTGAGTGCTAGGTTCCCTTCTCTGGACTTAATTATAGAATAAAGGTGGAATAGTGGTGCAGAGGTGCCACAGTGAAGCAGCTGTTTATATATCACTAGCCTTGGGACTGAATAATTAGATGTTTCCTCTGAGCTTTCATTCAGAACTGCATCTAAAAGAGTTACTTGAGCCAAAAACCTGTGATTCCTTTTAGCTATGATGGACATGAGAAAATGAATGGATATAAAGAGCATCCAAACATCTGAGAACTCTAGTGAAACTCCTCATTTTGCATTTTTCTCATTTAAAACAATACTTTTCATTGCAAATTAAATTGTAGAATCAAAAATCAGAGTTAACTAAAAACTATAGTTCTTTTTAAGTTTGGTTATCCAGTCCCATATTTTCAATGTGGTTCTTTGACTAAAGGAAAAACTTTGAAGGGAATTATTAATGTTCAGTCCTTTAAAGGACCCACACCTTCAACAACCCCAAACATTGGTTAAGATATAATAACAAGAAGTGCTATTGGCCTTTTTGATTATAGTAATTTCCTACACACATAGGATCAGTACCTGCCACAAGAATGTAGTCGTGATGCTGCTCAACAATGATTGGCAAATGCAGGTGACCAATGGATAAGTTTAGAACTTGATAACTCAGGCTGCCAGGGAGACCAGTGCCAAGGACTTATTGTCATAACTCGAGTTATCCTGCCTGTTGTCTCTGACATTCCTCCTCTATTTATAGCCCGTACCATCTCTAACCCCTTTCTGTCCTGCTTCTTTTCCTTTTTCACCCATCCGTCGCTCTCTTATATAGGAAAGGGGAGTGACAAAAGGCTTTGTCTTTTATGGGGCCATCCATTCCAGCCATAAAGGCCAAGGCAGGTGGCCCTAGGACTCTTTGTCCTGTGTCTGCCGTGAAGAGGGGAGTGCTGGGTGACAGGGCTTCAGTGCTGGATTACCTGTGAGGAGTTAACAGACAATTTCAAAAAGGAAACCTCAAACCCAGGACAGCCATGGATGATGTATATAAAGCAGCGGTAAGTTATGAATGCACTAATTATCAGCATTTCATTCCACTCAGGCTGCCTGAATGGAGAGTGACCCTGTAATAACGAGTCCCATAAGTTGTTTCGCATGAATGTGTCAGCTAAATGATAAATTAATAAATGTTCAAATTTAACCGGTCCTTGACCATTTCCTTCCTCTGTAAATGACAGATTTTAGCATTATAACTAATAATCAACCAAATCAATCTGTGCACTGTCGGGGTAGTTAGCTCTCAAGGTTAAATCAATAAACGGGAGATGGGACAGCAGAAGTTTGGGGCCCTTTTGAGGGCACAGGGCACACCATCAAAATGGATTTGGTCAAAAAAATTTAGCAACAAAACCAGTGTAAGGTTTAGATTTAGCATATCCCGTAATAGGTGGTGAAATAGAGAAGGGTCACAGTCAGTGAAGCTAAAGCATTTCAGAATGGGGCAGAGGGTGTCTGGTGTCTGAAGAACATTACACGAGTGACAGCTATCATTCCTGTAAAGAATAGATGTTGGCCAGTCTCTGTCGAATGACTTGCTATACAGTCTTACAACATATTGTATTTTTAGCTCAAAGTGTACTAGAGCAAAGGTTTGAGCTCTCTTTTCCGCCTAACAGGTAGAGAACTTGACAGAAGAACAAAAAAATGGTGAGTTTCTACTTTTAATCTGTCAGTTTGAACATAAAGCTGCATGTATTGTGATGTACCACAATGTCAACTCTCTTATAAACTTAGAAATGTTACTGTGTGACATTTGCACTGCTATCTGACTGCGCCTGGCAGAGTTCCGCGCTGCGTTCGATATCTTCGTGCAGGATGCTGAGGATGGCTGTATCAGCACTAAGGAGTTGGACAAGGTGATGAGGATGCTGGGCCAGAACCCCACTCAAGAAGAGCTGCAGGAAATGGTAGATGAAGTAGATGAGGATGGTATGTTGGATTTTAGTTATATCATTCATATTCATGTGTAGTTTATGGCAGCAATTGGGATTTCATTGGTGATTGGACTCTGTGGGTTGTAGGAAGCGGGACAGTGGACTTTGATGAGTTCTTGGTGATGATGGTGCGCTGCATGAAAGAGGAGAGCAAAGGAAAATCAGAAGAAGAGCTGGCTGAAGTCTTCCGCATGTTTGATAAGTATGAAGTGGATTTCTTTTCAAAGCATATTGTAGTGTATATCACATTACCTCCTATACTAGATATGTTTTATCGTTGTCTCTTTAAGAAATGGAGATGGTTACATTGATTTACACGAGCTGAAGAACATGCTGGAGTCGACAGGTGAGGCCATCACTGAGGACGACATCGAGGAACTCATGAAGGACGGAGACAAAAACAACGACGGCAAGATCGATTACGATGGTAAATGCGTGCTCAAAACATGGTACACTTATGAATATTTAGGCAAAAATGACCCATTTCGAAAATTAAAATATGTATTACTTTTAAAACCAACAGAGTTCTTGGAGTTCATGAAGGGTGTCGAGTAAAAATGCCGCCTGACGGATCCAAAAGACCAGTCATTTCATTCCCTGACCCAGTCCATCTCTCTGGCCTCACCACATGAACACTCAGTTGGGAAGCACAGAAAATTATCTGTATTTCATATATTTCTGTAATTTGTTTAAATTAGTAAATGGTGTCATGTACTGCTGCCCAAAATAGTAATGTTATTTGTGCTCAAGTAAAAACATTTTGTGTACAGTTGCACCGTTTTTTTCTTTCCCTAGCACATATCTTTTTTTATCATTTAACACCCCAATGAAAACAGATATTGGGGTTTTGTCTTTAAATTGAGGTAAATATATATAAACAGTAACAAACATAAAGTGTTGTAATTGATATTAGCCATAGCTCAATTAGACACACCCCTATTTCTATAACATACTCGCCTGTCAAGAAGAAACATTTATTAGTGTAAGATTTTGTTGACAACCGAGAAATTGTAAACATTTTGCACCTTCCAAACTAATGAAAACCAGTCATTTATTATAGATCAGTGTTTGTCACATAACTTTAGGTTAAAAAAAAAATCCTAAAAATCATTACTCCTCTTAAACTACACAGATTTTTGTCCAAACAAATGCCCTCTTCGGCCTCTTGCATGAGAAACTCAACTGCCAGCAACTAGCCAGTACCAAAATCAAGATTTATGATTATGGTTTAACTAAAGGCTCCAGGCCTTTTGCATGCATGCATGCATTATATATATACAGTGGGGAAAATAATTATTTGATCCCCTGCTGATTTTGTAAGGTTGACCACTTACAAAAAAATTAAGGGTCTATAATTTTTATGGTAGGTTTATTTTAACAGATAGAGACAGAATATCAACAAAATAATCCAGAAAAAACACGTTATATAAAGGTTATAAATTGACTTGCATTTCAGTAAGTAAAATAAGTATTTGATCCCCTACCAACCAGCAAGAATTCTGGCTCCCACAGATTGGTTACCTTAGTCCTGTCACTTTAAGAAATTACTCCTAATGTCATCTTGTTATGAGTATAAAAGAAACCAGTCAATAGAATGTGTATCTTCCATTCAAACCTCTCCCACCACCATGGGCAAGACCAAAGAGCTGTCAAAGGACGTCAGAGACAAGATTGTAGACCTGCACAAGGCTGGAATGGGCTACAAGACCATCAGCAAGAAGCTTTTTGAGAAGGAGACAACTGTTGGTGTGAATATTCGGAAATGGAAGAAATACAAAATAACCATCAATCGCCCTCTGTCTGGTGCTCCATGCAAGATCTCGCCTTATGAGGAAAGGATGGTCATGAGAAAGGTGAGGGATCAGCCCCGAACTACACAGGAGGAGCTTGTTAATGATCTTAGGCAGTTGGGACAACAGTCGCCATGCAAACCATTGGTAACACACTACGTTGCAATGAGTTGAAATCATGCAGTGCCCGCAAGGTCCCCCAGCTCAAGAAGGCACATGTACAGGCCCGTCTGAACATCTAAATGATTCAGAGAAGGCTTGGGAGAAAGTGCTGTTGTCACATGAGAACAAAATTGAACTCTTTGGCATCAACTCGACTTGCTGTGTTTGGAGGGAGAGAAATGCTGACTATGACCCCAAGAACACCATCCCTACAGTCAAGCATGGAGGTGGAAACATTATGCTTTGGGGCTGTTTCTCTGCTATGGGTACAGGATGACTTCACCGCATTGAAGGACCGATGGACATGCACCGTAAAATTCTGGATGAGAACCTCCTTCTTTCAGCCAGAACACTGAAGATGGGTCATGGATGATGGGTCTTCCAGCATGACAATTACCAAAAATACTGCCAAGGCAACAAAGGAGTGGCTCAAAAAGAAGCACATTAAAGCCCATTCATACAGTGTTGGGGAAAGTTACTTTTAAAAGTAATGCATTACAATATTGCGTTACTCAATATAAAAGTAACTAATTACGTTACTTTTTATGGAAAGTAATGCGTTACGTAACTTTTGCGTTACTTTTTAAATGGACAGGGCTTGCTTGCTTGTTTTTAAAGTAAAAATGTTCTGTTTTTGGCAAATACAAAAGCCTTTTCACACCAAAAGTGAAATGAATAAGCCTCAGGCTGAAGGGAAAGTAAATTTACGTCCGTACAGTAGAATGCAGAAGAAGAAATTTCAACACACTTCAGCAACAAAAAAAAGACACACAAATGTTTGTCTAAAGTAATTTTTGATTATTAGTACGGTTGAACTGGATCATCGAAGGTCAGAAGCAAAGACATTGGTTAATAGAATGGGATTAAATACATAAAGGATATTTGTGTCGTTTAACATTTAATTATTGCAGGTTTGCATCATATTCTGAGTTGCATTATTTTTATTCATTTTGAGGAATACTGAATCTGTGGGGGGGTTTTTGTGACTGAGATGAATTAATGCATATTCATATTTATTTCAGAACTACAGTAACATCTTCTGATTTCTCTCAACATAGGGACGGGAGAGCTGTCAGTCAATAAATTTGAAAAAAAAAAAGTTACTTGCGTTACTTACTTGAAAAAGTAACTCAGATATTCTCTTGTAAATTAAAGAGAAATGCGTTACTTTACTAGTTACTTGAAAAAAGTAATCTGATTACGTAACTCGCGTTACTTGTAATTACCCCCAACACTGTTCATACATAATACAGCTATACCAAGAAGAAATAAGGCATATTGGATGGGCAGTTAAATTTATTATCACATTGCATCAAATTCAGTGAAAACTATAGGTTTACACAAGCAACAACAGTGAGGGTGTCTCAGTAACATGAGAAACACTTCAAGTCGCCAAAACCAAACCATTGATGTACTAACTTTCCAAAACTGGGTTGTCCAGTAGCTTATGCAACAGCAGTAAAAAAAAAAAAAAAAAAGATATACTTGGTTACTCCCTGAAAGCACCATCACGGCTAATATAAAATTTATTTTTCATGATACTGGCTTGTAATAATTCCAGGAAGCACACACAGTCAAAAGCTAGGGAAAGGATGAAATTACTTAATGTGAAATGGTCATTGTTTTAATTGTATTCAAAAAAGTGAAACTGCAATGCACTCTGATCTAATCCACACTTCCAAGCCTTTAAAAAACACTATTAATACAGCATTTAAAGCTTTCAAGAAGTCAAAACTGATGATGCAAAGTGAAAACACTTCAGAGCTATGGGCGACACTGTATAGACTATAGTGCACAAGTTGAGTATTTCACACTAAGTTAGGTATATCCTCAAGCCATGAGCCTCTGGAATGATAAGGATGAGTGGCGAGCTTGTATTTAGGGTCTGGGTTAGAAGTGGAGAAAGAGGAAAGGCGTAGTTCAGGGTGGTTCAAACGGTTTCAGTTGGCGAAAGTATGCTTGACGGCAGTAACGATAGATTTGGCACTGATGCCAAACATGTCCAGAAGCTCCTGCGGTTTGCCGCTCTGAGGCACATGGCTCACAGCTAGCCGGTGCACCACAATGCCAGGCTCTTCACCCACTGCAGACAGGACGGCCTCGCCCAGACCACCTACAATGAGAGCAAAGGAACCAACATAAAAGACCTCTAACAGCACAGAAGAAAAAAACTAAAGAAAGAAAGTAACAGGAAGGGGAAAAAAGCTAGTCTTCCTCTTTAATCTTGATGGTATTTCACTGAATAAAAGCAGCTCACCCTCTTTGTAGTGGTCCTCTACAGTGATCACCCTTCCTCCTGTGGCACGAGCACTTGCCACAATAGTGGAGGCATCCAGGGGTTTTATGGTGAATGGGTCGATAATCCGAATGTTCATACCTGGGAAAATAGAAAACACATATCGTGGTTTTAAAACAAAAACTGCTTCGAAAGACTTTTCAGGAGGAGTTTTGTCCTTTGACACACAATGCTTTAATATTTATACATACATTTTATATTAATAATAATAATAATTATATATATATATAAATAAATAAATATTGCCAAAATTAACATGCTAACACATGATTACTGTTTTCAGTTTAACGTGTTAAAAATATTTAACGCAAATGAACACAGAGGGGGAGCTATGGTTGGCCACCCCACTCACAACTGCTGCTTCGGTCTCTTTTTTCTTGCCAAGAATTGCGTTTATTTCGAACGTCTTTACAACCACATCAAACGGGAGACTTTTCAGACGCACAGTCCAACTTCGCCTCAGCACCAGGCTCTAGTCAAACGAGCGCGGAAAAGGTACAGGTGACTAGGGAGCTTCAGGAGAACAACAGTGAACTGCGGTCAGATGAGAAGTTGTCAGGTCATAACTCAGTAAAAATGAGTTTTCCTGTCAGCCATACTGTGCTCATAGCACGTGCTCTTCAATTGCACGCACAAATGCGGCGGCACACTGTATATCATTTCATATTGAGGCGCAAAAGATACTACAAGCATGCAATGTCGTAGTTATGTCATCAATTAGCCTAAGTGATGAAGTTACCAAAAAGGCGATTAAAGCTACCTTAAAACTGTGTATGCATGCAAGTATTTGTTATATATGAGTCACATTTAAGAACATGTCTCTAAAATGTAGTGGTTTTCAAAACAGTCTTGGAGCCCAGCACCGTCTCCCTCATCTAACATACCCGATTCAACTCATCAGCTCATTAGTAGAGACTTTAAGAGCTGAAGGGTCAGAAAAAGGTAAAGAGCTGTGAGAAAATACGATGCGTGTCAGATCCGTGACATGCTCAGCAGCTCTTAAAGCAGATAAAATAACCTTAATAACCCAGCTACTGTGATGTCTGTTAAATCAAAGAACAAAAAAAAAAAAGAAAAAGAAAAAGGAAAATCAATAACTTTTGTAGCTTTAAGGATTCATCTATATTTAATTTAGAATTTAATGTTTGATAACTTTATTCAATTTCTGTATATTTCCTACTTGCTGAAGAGCACAGCTAGCTAAATATGACATTATAATAGATTTGTGAAGATTGTTTTAAGCTCACTTAAATTAGATGGTTTTTTTAAAAAGTCTAATAAATGTTAAAATTGATAGCTCTCAATTATACTGTAATTTTGAATGGCTATAGTCAAAGATTAAATATTAGAAAGAAAGAAAAAATTTAATAGAGACATCAGTAGTATTGGTATCAGTGATACTCACCTTCAGTCATAAAGATGCCATTAAACAAATATACTGTATGTTATTTCTACTTTAATTTGAAGATTGAATGTGAATTTATTGCAATTTAAAATCTTTAATGTTAGGTGGAATTAATCGCAATTTATTTCAGAAAAAAATGTGCGGTTAATTTGTTCATTTTTTAAAAATAGATTATACATTTAGTATATTTGCATCACAAGTTAAGTTTAATTCTCTAAAGTGTAACTGAGGTACTGTTATGGGCAGTAGGCGCTGAACAAACCTTCTTTGGCCAGTTGGTCATGTGCTGCCAGTGCCTCATGCAGTGTTACTCCAGCTCCAATGACGGTCACCTGATCTTTGTCAGACTGCCGCACCACCTACAGGACAGAAAGAGAACTGTTAGAACAACCCTTGTGAACCAGACATTTCACAGTGGTCCAACAGGAGGCCCCATTTGCTCACTGTATTACTATACACACTAAATTGACAGGTTCAGCATGGCTGCTAAATTTAGCCTTATTTGCTGTAGTTTGTAACCAAATATAGAAACTATAAATAATTTCATTAAAAGTGTGTTCTGGTCTTCTCTTTAAAAAAAATAAAAAAATTCTCCTCACCTTGGCTTTGCCAACTTCAAATTTCTCTCCAGCATCATAGATGACTGCATTGTCAGGTCGGCTGGTACGGATGAAACAGATACCCTGAAAGCAGGGAATGGCATGAACACTGAGCCAAAGAACTATAGATTAACTTTATCTATAATAGACCATCAGGTGGAAACCATAAACCACACCTTTATATTGGCTGCAAGCTCCACGGCTCTCTCAGTAGATACTGCATCACTAGGGTAAAACACTGTGCACGTTGGGATAGCGCGGAACATTGCGAGATCCTCCAGTGCCATCTGCGAGGGGCCATCCTCACCTGGACAAAATTAGAAGTTAAGAAACATTTCAGATTGAATATGTTAGATTCAGAAGAGATTTGACGATAAATTAAGACCAGATAAAATGGAATGAATCCATGTATTTCACAGCACAGAGCCTTACCAATGGAAACACCACAGTGTGAGCCAACCAGGTTGACATTAGACTGGGAGATCGCTGCCATACGGATGTGGTCATAGGCACGAGCAAAGAAGGCAGCAAAAGTGCTGGCAAATGAAACAGTGCGATCACGAGTGGCACAACCAATGGCCACACTCACCTGGATAGCAAGGGAATTAAATGCATTTAAAACATATTATTAGATAAAATATAACGCATGCATATAAAAAAAATAATCCCAAACATTTTAACAGTAGTGTGCATTTTATATTAATTTGTAATACTTAAACATTTATAGTAACAATAAAATATTTAATACACAGCTTAATACAACAACCAGGCCAATTACTGCTGTAAGTTATATTTTAATACAAATATTTTATTGATTATATTGACCTCAGAATAACCACGTTTATGCAGAAAGGAATTCTTTCTCATTGTGGGAATTCATGTCCTATTGAGTAAGAACTTAAGGCAGCGAAAAATATTAGTCAGAAAGTGAATAGTAACAGATTGTTAAATCGGGGTGAGGTCAGGTTTACAATGTGCTGTATGAATAGTGCACCACACCTTCAACTTATCACAAAGTGCTATACAAACACAGTTTACAGACCCATTCATATATGACACACACTGTCAGCCAACATACTTTTGCTTTGCCATCATGACTTGTTACTTATCATTGTAAAGGGGGAGAAAAATCCCATCCATTTACACACCATGTTCTGCTCAGCAATGAAGCATTCAATAAAGCGATCAGGATGGGCCTTCTTGAAGATCTCAGAGAAGGTTGAGTTCTTGGTGTCTCCATCCATGGCCACCACACGTGGGCTGGCATCCCCCATCTTCTTCAGGGCAACACCATAGGCCTTCCTGGTGGACATCTGAGTGGGCAAACAAAAGCAGAAGCTTTATAGATTCTTCTTTTGAAGACATGGAAGCATTTGCTCAAAGAAAAAAAACACTTAAAAACTCCAACATCTACGGTGACACGTCATCACCTTATCTCCGATCTTGTATTCTGGAGCTGTGAGCAGGTGGATGGGGGTGAGGTCAGCTGGAGCAGCATCCTCATTAGGCAGGTGAGGGTGGAGGGGCTTATTGGGAGACTGAATCTGGCTCAGGAGGTCCTTAATCAGCTCTTGCGCACGGTCTTTAGGCATAGGCTTCCCATGCCAGTTAACCTGATCCTCAATGCCTGAAAAAAGATCACAGGTCAGACCACGAGAATGAGGACAAACATAAAGGCCGGGCAATTTTTCCGATTTTACAGATTAATTTGAATTTAATGTTTTGTCACGATTTTATTTTTTATAAATTGAGGAATCAAGGTATTAAACAGAAATATTACCAAACGTTAGAATTAGACACTTTGACAATAAGCCAATGTTAACAGTAAAGAGAAAAGAATGATCCAACCGCATGTCGGCACACATGATTAACCGCTCACGTGTGACGCGCTCTGTGAAGGACCACAAGGTGCCATTCACACAGAATGCACTTTTGTGTCGACAAAGAGGGTAGTGCAATAACAAAAAAAAAAAAATGCAGGAAGATGGGGGTTGAAGTTCTTTAAACTTGAGTGCCGCGTTTTTAGAATGCCGTTTCATGCATGAGACACTGCAAGAGACGCGAGCGCAACAGTCAAACGCATCCATGTTCACATAGAAAAACAGTGGAAAAGCAGCGCAATCAAATAAAAACCTGTAAAGAACTACTAGTGTATATCTGAAATTTCATGTTTGCATCATATTGACAGGCTAAAAGCTGCTGTTCACTGTTTTTACAGAACATTTAGTTAATAATAGTCATAGGGCTGCACAATTAATTTAATGCGCATCTTGTCAGTAAAGCCGGTCCTGTAATCAGTAGTAAATCTCCAGCACGTGCTTTCAGATGGAGCAGCATTTACTACACAGAGCCGTAGTTCACTGACAAGCTACGCAAACAGCTTTCATAATCGCAGAACGATATCTTCGATTTCATAATCGCATGATTATGAACGCGATTTTGCATAGCTTGTCAGTGAACTACGGCTCTGTGTAGTAAATGCTGCACCATCTGAAAGCACGTGAAAAAACCACATTTAATAACATATATTTACTCCAAACTCACTTCATAACGTCAGACGAGTGTCTGCAGTAAATCCTTCTGTGAGATGTGGTTTCTTACACAGAATAAGGCACGCAACAAATTTCATAGTATTCCAAGCAGTGATAAAGGCTGTGTCGATTTGCATTGCATTATTATATACTTTATTACAATAAAAATTATAATAAGACGAACTCAGATAAACCATATATTGTTGTAGTTGTGTGTTTATTCGTCACATTGAATCAAGGCAAGCAGTTCAATCTTCTGTTTATTCAGCAACCGCTATAGGCATTTCCTGGGTTTCTTCTGCGAGGCGTATTTGGAGTTTCCGCGCGAGCGCGTCCTCTGGCCTTCGGATGGAGATTTACTACTGATCACAGAACCGTGCTTCACTGAAAGACACGCATGACAATCGCAGCTTCTGCCTAATCGCGATTTATCACCTTTGCAATTTAATTTCGATTAATCGCGAGGCCCTAAATAGTCTACTGGTGTTATACCTTCAGTCATTTTGAATTTGAATGACCTTGACTTTTGAGATAAAAAAAAAAAAAAAAGTATTTTCTTTGTATTATTTCTGAACATATATGTATGACAAGTTTGAAGAAGATGTAGTTGTAGTTCATGCATTTTTTTAACGTTAACAAGTGATTTGTTTAACATTTACATTGACAACTTCATGTGTGGTGCACTTAAAATAGAAATGTCTTTTCCCAGCATGCAGTACACACGGTAGCTAATGAGACAAGACAGACAGTTACAGTAGCTTCAAATGATCAGCAGAAATTGGCATTTTCCTGTACGGCACTGTTTTTTTATTTATTACTATGGTCTGAGAGCAAAACCTTTGTTTAGGAGCCATACTAGCATGAGACGTTTCATTTGGTGTACACAAGCAATGTAGTACAGAGGATCATAGTATGAAAGAAAAACTGTTGAAAAACTTTATTTAAAAAGGGAATCAAATAATGTGGAGAACGTAGGTACCTAGCTTTATCAAAGTATTTTCCAGTGTACGCCATACCGCAGGAAGCACCCAAACCCTGGCCAAGAGAACCTGTCGCCACATCCACAAACGCTAGTTTCTGAAATAAACAGAGAAGTGAGGTTAATTGCATGACAAATGGTTATGTGAAACAATTGATACACTAAGTCAGCAAGATTAATACTTTTATTCAGCAATGATGCACACATTTAAATCAAAATAACTAAAGTTACTAAAGGTTTCTATTTCAAATAAAAGCTGTTCTGTTCAACTTTATTATATTATTTTTATTATTATATATTAAGCACCACAACTGTTTTCAGCATTGACAATCAGAAATCTTTCTTAAGCACCAAATCAGCATATTAGAATAGATTTCTGAAGGATCATGTGACAATGAAAACTGGAGTAATAGCTGGTGAAAGTTCAACTTTGCCATCACAGTAATTAATTACATTTTGAAATACATTAAAATGCTGTAAAAGCTGTTATTTTAAACGGTAACATTTCACAATATTACTTTTTATAATTAAATAAATACAGCCTAAGTGAGAATGAGATTTTTTCCAAACACATTAAAACAATCTTACCGACCCCAAACGTTTGAAAGCTAATGTATATGCGGTGATAAGAGTGGTCTTACTCACAGGGGTAGGGTGACCCTCCAGGTCAGAGTCGATCTTGCGCAGGTTTAGCAGCTCAGACTCTTTGATGAATCCAGCCTCTGCCCAGGCAGCATACAGAATGGGAGCAGCATGGCCCTGAAAACATTAACATGAGGGGTGGAATACATTTAATCTCTAAGCACTGAGAAAACTAAAAATTACAAGGAAGCTCAACACAGATTGAAAGCCCACCTTGGACAAGATGAAGCGGTCGTTGCTGGGGTTGCGAGGATCATCGGCTTTGTAGCGCATGGTGTGAAAGAACAGCACTGACATGAGCTCAGCAGCGCTGCAGCATGAGGTGGGGTGTCTGCGAGTAGAAAACACATCAGTATCATCAATCCCAGCCATCAACCATTAACCATCAGCTCAAACATGCTGGACGTTAAAGACCAATCAGACATGCAGGTTATCTTTCATTTCAAAACTAGAACACGATTGCAAATGGTACTAAAGGGCAAAAGTTGCTACAGTCATCATTGGGGTTTGAGGTGTAGTAACAGACCTCATCAGAATCAATGACTTCAGCTACTGCCAAACCAGGCACATCATATATAAGCCATTTAATGATCAGAAGGGCTGTAGCCTCTAATATTCTAATAAAGAGACAACAGTGCAATAGATTAAGGACTCAAACCATGACACCTATCTTGCTTTTTTTGAGGTACAAAGCTAATGTAACAGAACATCAACATACTCATTTACTCAAACTCATGTCACTCCAAACCTGTTTATTTTATAAGCTTTAACTCTTTATTCATCAGAAATCACATGAGAAAGAGTGACCTGTACATTATTCTGAATTTCTCCTTCTGTGCTCCACAGAAGAAACAAAGTCATACAAATTTGAAACAACAAGAGGACTGAAATTTTATTCTTTTAATGAGCGTGTGATTCACCAAACTTTGGAAGCCAGTATTCACCATGGAATAATAATTAAAAAAAAAAAGAAATTTCACAATTCTTTCTTACCTCGCAAATTTGATTATACCTTGATTCCTGATATAGAATTGACAGATAAAAATTGTGAGATAAAGTCCCAAATATATATTTTTTATTATTTCGTAGTGAAAATGGGCTTCCATACAAAACAGAGCTAATTAAAAAAACTGGTTACTATCAAAACGTTAAGCTGAAACACACTGTTAAAAACATACAAATGACTGAGCTTGAACTTGAATTGAGGGTGCAGTACAACTGTTAGTTTGTTGGTTCCCAAAGTGGTTTAAAGCAACATGATCTTTAAAGTCAGAGTCTGTAAAGCACTCATGCAATCGAGTAGTCACAAAACTATCTGTTGAAAAAACATGAAAATTTTATTGTGAGGAAATACATGCAGTCTTATGTTATTGTTCAATACATTCCTAACATTCCACTAAACAAAACAAAACACCATTGATGAATTACCATCTTTGTCCTATACAGGGACTCATTTAGGCTGAAATAAAGACAATGGAAAAGGTGTTAAGAAACAAATCTCTACTGATCAGTTTCAGAATGACGGATAAGATTGTAAAAAGGTACAGACAAAAGGCTGAGTCATGATCAATACTTCCTTGTTGCCTTGTTTAAGCGTCTACATGTATACAAGTGATCATCCTTGAGGAGGGAAAAAGACTTTGGTATCAAACACGCTGACCCAAAAAGAAATGAGAAGGAACAGAAAAAGAGGAAGTGTCATAACCGTCAAACAAACAGTATCAGGTCAAAGTTTACACTCAGTGAAATTCCTTTACAATATTTTCAATGAATGAAAGATTGTTGCATGCCAGCAAGGGTCTGTGCAGATTATTGTAACAAATTAACCCTCTGATAAATGGCGTCCGCTACGAAATATAATGAAGGCATCTAATAAAACAGCCTTTCTATCCTCTTCAAGTTTAGAAATTCCCCTCTTCGATTTTAGTTCATGTTGAGAAATTACCATCTGTGGCAATAGCGGTCACAAAAGAGAACCGCGCGCAGAGATTAAGCAATGCCAAAGCAAAGCTTTCCTTTCACGGAAGCTTCATTTGAACTCTGCTTATCGCCACATTCTTCTGATGTGATTTCCAGCAGACGATAACTTCATGGAGCCTAACAGCACTTTAACTAGTGTTGGGTTCATTTTGAACAAATCTTTAATGTTACTCGAGAAGAACGAGTCGTCTCGGGGAGTGATTCGTTCAGTCGCGCATGCGCAATATCCTATAGGTTCTGTACTGGAATTAGTCAAGTAGTTCACCTGGTTCGAGTCTTCGGGTTTTCCCGAGTCGTTCGTTCATCACGTGACAGCCCCATAAGCCCAAACCCGAAGACTTGTCAGATAAGAGCTGAGGTGAGCTAATCATAGACTGAAGACCCAGGTAAACAACGAATTAATCTTTTCTGTTTCTTATAGCAGTTTTGTATTGTTTGTAGTGTGATCAACGTTTGCGTAAGTAGTAGACATTAGGGAAGTAACACCTAACATTTTAATTATATTTTGTTAAAATGAGCGAAATGACTCGAAAAAAGATTCGTTCATTTTGCTGAACGAGACTCAAAGGTCCGAGTCGGTAAAATGATCCGAACTTCCCATCACTAACTTTAATCCACAGCTCAACGGAAACCACGAGACCTCCACGCCTCCACGTGACAACCTGTAGGTGAAGCGTGCAGCCGCGAGCTCGCAGGATAAATTAATTAGTGATGGGAAGTCCGAATCTTTTCCGCAGAACGGTTCTTTCGAACAGTTTGTTTCAAAAAAGATCCTTTTGCGGCACAGCGTAATTGCGTCATCACGTCGCCCTGACCCGGCGTGGTACTACTACGTGCTCGATTTACCAAGTCTTTATGTAAACATATATTGCGGTTTATCATGTATAAATGTGTATATTGTTTAGTACGTATAAAAGGGCGATTGTCCATGATTCAACAGTTTAAAAATAATTAATTTACGTCTTGACTTTGTATGAACGCAACTCATTGTTATTACAAGTCAAGAAGCCAAACACATTTCCAGAACGTTTTATCTGTATGATTAACTTCTGTCAGCTACATCGGTTCAGCGAGTCGGGAGTTGTTGCTTCTGAATCGGGTCTGTGAACAGGTTCAACAGCCGCTCTGAAGAGATCCGACTCAAATGAACAACTCTTTTAGGAATCGCCACAATCAATCAGTTGCAGCCATAGACTGCATAGTGCATACTGCATACAAACAGGTTGCAGCTCAGCGAGTGGAACTTAAACGCGACGATTTAACATTTATTAACATACCTCCTGTGCTAATGACAGGGCGATGAGAGGCTAAGCCCATTTTCACTGGTCATCGCTTGGAGGCCACGGTGGGCTAAAAAGCTCTCAAATATGTCGCGTAAGTAGTGCAAAGCTAGTGACTCGCTTGTAATAGCTAAAAAGGTCGAGTAATTCGAAACTAATAAGTAACATCAATGTGCCCGGCCCCCTCGCCAAGTTCACGTGCTATGCAGGAACAAGTGAACATTTGCGCGACACACTAGATAAACGTAACGTTGCAAATCTGTCGTTCGCCATCATAGAAAGATGTTACGCATGAATTTCAATAAGTGCAGAAGATTTTACCCGGAGTTTGAGGCGCATGTTTCCTTGATGGAGTGAATCCTGAGCTTGTTGGCGATGTCTTTCAGGGCCTGCAGAGTTTTCTCGTCGGGTTTGTGATAGCTCATGATTCAGCTGTGCGCGATTAAATGAACGCGAGTGCTATAACTATAGAAAAATGAACTCTTCTGAAACTGCGTTAATCTGTAATTGCTAAGAGCACCAGAGCCGAGCACGGTGTGGGACGCGGGTAACGCGCTGCGCTGTAGCTTTTAAGCGAGGCGTTACGTCAGCTGTCAACTCATCCGATAACGCGAGCCATTGGACGAGGCGCTGTCGCAACAGCACAGCAGAGCACAGCAGAGGAGAGGAGAGGGTGCCAGATCAGGCCAGAGACCGCAGACAAACTAAACCTTGCATAAACAAGATTAGGGTGTGACAGAAGTGAGCTCGGTTTTTTTTACACTTGAGTAAAATCTTCAATGATTAAATGTTTGCGATTGTTGTAAAATCACTGAAGGAGCTGATTGAATCAATGATTCGTCGAGTCACGGTGACCGTCTTGAGGACAGGAGTGCGGAAACTGTTTAACCCTTTAAAGTCCATTGTATTGTATGTGATACACTGATATCTAGGATCCCTAAATTACCACCAAAACTGAAAAACCTGTTGTACATAATCTTCTTCATGCATCCTGCTTTCTGATTGATTGCCCAAAGTGAACGTGAGGTTAACATATTAATAATAATAATAAAAATATGTATATTATTTCAAGACGAACATTCGCTGGACTGAAGCAACTTAGGTTTACTTGATTATTCATACATATTTTGTTTATTTATTTTTTAGAACCATGTGCACCGTTTGATACATTTTAACACCTCTCAATCATCATTGTATTGCATTACGTTTCTTGAGACGCTCCAGCTTCTCCAAACCCTCCAATCGCTTTATGTTGTTCTGAGCCTAAATAGTTGGGTGAAAGTGTAAGATGGTAGTTTATTGGAGATAATCAGTATCATGTACTTTTATCTACAATAAACATAAATACAAGCAGTTATACCAGATACAAGTGGCGTAAATTGGGGAGGTAAATGCCATCTGTAGTTTCCAAACAATTTCCTCTTAGCTCGAGAGTCACCAAATTGGTCAGATTGTGATATTCCAAGCCCTGCATGGTCTGGATACCATTACCTAAAAATATATCATGAAATGTTGCTGTAGTGCAGATTACAATGAAATTTGAACAATGCCAGCTCATGATTTTTTTTGTATTCACATTATTGAATCACATATGTTACATAAAGCTAAATACACCACTCTAGATTTGCTGAACGAAACCAGTGTGGTTGGTACTAGAGTACAAAAAGAGCTCACTGTCACTAGTACAATAATCTACTAAATGGATTTAACTAACCAGTGAGATTGAGGGTTTCCAGTGCTGGACCTCCAAGACCTTTAACATCAAATAGGCGGTTGTTGGCAAAGCTGAGCCACTGTAGGTAAGTGAGCTGGCCAAACGGCTGACTCTCAAACCTCTGAAGCAGGTTGCTGTCTCCCTTCACCCACAGCAGCTGGGTGAGATCAGCCAATGTAGAGAAGTCTGATAAATGATTGGAGGAGATGTCCAAGTAGCGCAGATGGATGAAGGAGCTGAGCAAGGCCAGGTCTGTCAGACCCCTGTTAAGACAGGTGCAGTGAAAACCAAGTTAAACTGGTTATGTACAAATTATACTTGAGATACAGTAAATGAGTATGATAGTATGTTGGAAATGATGGGAATAAGAACGGCCCAGACAAGCTTACTTGCTTTTAAGGTCAAGTCGGACATAGGCATGAGACAGACCATTCCCTGCGCGACACAATAAGGACAAACTTTTCGCCATCATGTCCTGGGTTAGTGGACAGGGCTTTAGCTGGTAATAAAGAAAATCATGGGCAATCTTAATTCTTTTTTTCTGCTTATTTTGTATATATAATATAAAATAAGATAAAAATGCACAATAAAACTAAAATCTTATTAACCTTACTTGATGACTGTTAACGTTATTAATGTCTATATAAATTTGGGTTACCTGAACCTCTTGTTCTGAAATCTCCTTCTCTTTTCTTTCAAGATCATCTCTCTCTCCCGGTCCTTCTTCATCCTCTTTCTCTGCTTTCAAAAGCTCATCTTCATCAGAGTCTGACATTATTCTTCCGTCTTGGTTACCTTGTTGATCAAATTTTCACGGCTTAAATAAATTATTCGACGTTTAAATGAATCAGTTCGTTCACAATCACATCATCAGCACGCTAGCTAACTTCAATCAATGAATTAACAAAGGATTTACTTCAGTTTGTAAACCTGAACATGGTTTCTGTGTCACTCACCTCACGCTGCATCGTGTTTATGGCCGTTACCATAGTAACACCACGAGTCTCTGTACTACCCAGTGCCTCCATAGAACATTTGTGGCATATGCATATGATTCATATTTATGTGAATATGTATCCATTATTTACCCAAATTAAATGCCTATATTATAAATCTTTATCAAAACCTGAAGTAAGGTGAGAAGCTAGAAGCAGTTTTTCTTGTAGCATACTTCAGTAGTTGTGTTTACATAACACTCATTTTCGGCAATCCGAAACAATTCCGATTCTGAAAGTCGTTTTATATAAAACCTAAACCTTGCAATCCGACTCACATTTTCGCTTACATGTGCATGCATTGCGTACAAAACCTCAGCCATGTTACAACCGTGAGTATAATTATCGCTTTTGTTTTGATGACACATTTAAAGGGGTCATATGATGCGATTAAAATTTGTCCTTTCTCTTTGGAGTGTTACAAGCTCTTGGTGCATAAAGAAGATCTGTAAAGTTCTAAAGACTAAAGTCTCAAATCCAAAGAGATATTCTTTATAAAAGTTAAGAGTTAACCACGCCTACCTAAAACGGCTCGTTCGAACACGCCCCCACATATCTACGTCACGATGTGGGAAGATTTGCATAACGCCGCCCAAATGTTCACGCAAAGAAAGAAGGCATAACTTTTATTCTCGCTGTAGTATTGTTGCCACCGCCGCCATGTCGTGAAGGTGCTGTGTGTTTCGTTGTGAAAGCGAAACTACTTTGTTTGGCCTTCCAAAAGAGGACGATATGGAGCTGATCTGTGCTGGTCGCTGAGGAAATACTTCAACTTCGTGCTGTCGATTGCCAGATCGGCTTTCACCGTGGACGAAGCGGAGTCCAGCCCGGGGACGTAACATTTCCGTCACACGCTTGAGGAATTCGGCCAATCACAATGCACAGGATAGCTGGCCAATCACAGCACTCCTCGCTTTTTCAGACCGATGAGCTTTGTAAAAATCGACGCGTTTCAGAAAGGCGGGGCATAGAGGAGAAACAATGATGTTTACATAATAAAACAGTATGTGGAAAATAATGTTTTTTAACCTTAAACCGCATAAACACATTTCATTACACCAAATACACAAAAAAGTTTGTTTAATACATATGTTAAAAAAAGAGGATAAAAACAGAGGCAATCAACACAGTTCGAAGTGACCAGTTAATAAAGTCCAAATAATTTATTTTTGCAACTTTCTCCAAATGAAAACTGTACCATAATAAATCGTAAAACAAAATAACCTACTTCAAAATAGCCATCATAAATAATGCATTAAGTAACAATACACACTAAAAGCTGTAACTGTGCAATGACAATCTTCAGTAGATTAACATCCTCCAATGACGGTGAGAGGAAATGGATGCAAAGATCGAGTCAAAAACTGCATTCCACTGGAATCAAAACACCTTAATTGTTGTTGGAAAATCTGAATATGATTAGACATCGTTTTAGAAATTAGAAGTTCAATATTGTACATAAAATGCAACATCAGAACTCTGTACCTTGAGAGGAGGATGCAGACACTTTAGCATGTAACTGCAATGTGATTTAAATAATCACATGTGTAAAACCGCATTCATGTAAACTCTGAGCAACTCAATCCAATGAACATGTTAGATATATTAGCAAATTCTGCTTTGGTTAGTCTCAGCTTCAAATTAGTGTTAGAACAAACCGAAAGGGTCTCAAAATATATTAGTGTCAGTGCAAAAAAGAAAACAAATCTTCACAAAATAAGTCTACAAATTCAAGTGTTTTGATATTCAACTTATTTGGTTTTAAATGCATCAAAAAAAAATAAAAAATAAAAAACTATCCTTGAATGTTCCTGAGAATACTGTTGGTCGAACCATCTTCCTTCCTTGGTTTATGTGCGGATATAACAAAATAGATCTATGAAGCAGCTGCCAACTCTTATGACCATAATAACGTCTACATACACTATGGCATGTGCGGTTTATGATTGCTAGATCTTCAGGGGCAAAATCTGACCCTTGACTATGATGGTAATGTAGATATGGATCTATAGATTGCAACATCCTTCATTAAAGGGTGCCGATCTGTGATTGTAGCAGAGAACTTCAAACATGGTTCTTCCACATATATGCACATACTACAGGATTGTGTTTAAGCATAATTTGTGTTTCCCTGCATGACTTGAGCTTCATCTGGCTATCCCGTTTGGATGCTCCCCTCATAGTTCTCCATGCAGATCTGGATGCGTTGGGTGAAATATCCAGGCTCGGAAATGGCCTTCAGCAGGTCGTTCTGTACCAGACACAGATCATACAGCTCTGATGTGGAGGCTGTTCGAGTCTGCAAGCCCTCAGGGTCCAGAAACACCTGCAGAAACAGGTGAGCACAGGGGTAAGACACATGGGACGATCAAACTGGAGAAGTGAAAACATACATCTAATACCTTAGGATGGACAATAGTGTCCTCATCGTTTTGTCGAATATTGTCATCAATGAAGATATGCTGAACTTTGGTGTCGAAAGGGTCAATCCAGAGTGGCTTTCCTCCTAAAATGGAGTATGTGTTCCGTGCCCACCTATTTAGGAAAAACAATAGCTTGATAATGATAAGCAATACAATTACATCGTTTTCAGATCCATAACTGGCTCCTCACCAGTCAAAGTGGTCTTGGAAGCCACCCAGACCCTCAGCAGTGCTCAGGTACTGGTAAACATGCCGCTCTCCATCCCTTGTGGACACGTGTTCTTCTCCACGAATCAGTGTTGCACCTTTACCGCTGCACCTGATGCGCCCGGCAGTCATGTTCACCCTCAGCTGTGAGAGGAGAAAGTCTTAATGAGGCATGGTTTATCTGGGACAACACAAAACCTACTTTTCCATATCAAATACCTTTAGAGCTGGGAGGTCAGGGAAGAGTGGATGTGAGCCCTGCTCTACAGCACGCTTGACAGCATTCAGAACACGGGGCAGATCTGAGCCGAATGTACGGAACAGGATGGAGAACTCCACACCTTGTGAAGACAAGTCCTGCAGCATTCGGAAGAAGGAAGGGAGGATCCAGTGATACAGCTTCCCATCTTCTGCCTTAACAGACAGCTCTTTATCTGCAGGTATGTCCGACGGCCATCGGAGTAGCTCTAGATGTTCCTCCAGGACCTTCCGGAACCGTCGGCCTGGACCTACGGTGGTGAAGCCTGCCACTCGGCCAAACTGTGTGTAGTATGTGATGGCGCCCTCACAAGGCTGGAGGAGAGATGGTGCTTCTGACAACCACTCCCATTTACCTGTGAACAGTGAGAAGCAGCATGTGACGTGATGCTGAGCAAAGGCGTTTGAGTCATGATGCAAAACAGCCACTGCATGTACTACAGTATTAAAGGATTAGTTCACTTCCAGACAATTTATTTATTCACCCCCATGTCATCCAAGATGCTCATGTCTTTCTGTCTTCAGTTGCAAAGAAATTAAGGTTTTTGAGGAAAACATTCCAGGATTTTTTTTCCATATAATGGACTTCAATGGTGGCCAACGGGATGAAGGTCCAAATTGCAGTTTCAGTGCAGCTTCAAAGGGCTCTACACGATCCCAGCCGAGGAATAGGGGTCTTATCTAGTGAATCAAACGGTCATTTTCTTAAAATAATAAAAATATGTACACTTTTTAACCACAAATACTTGTCTTGCACTAGCATCGACACGCATTACATAAGAAGTTGGAGGAAAAAAATGAGATGGAGTTTTTCGCCCTACCCTACCTTTTTGAACTGGAGTACACAGTTTTCTTTTTAGAAAATGACCGACTGTTTTGCTACATAAGACCCTTATTTCTTCGGCTGGGATCGTGTAGAGCCATTTGCAATGAAGCTGCAATTTGGACCTTCAACCAGTTGAATTTTTTTCATTCTGGATGTGAAATAATCCTTTAAGAATAAACATTTAAAAATGAACACTTTATAAGGGAGTGCATAGCATTTTGTTATGTATTATATTAAATATTTATTAAAAAATATCCTTTATTTTACACAAACGCATTTCTTTGAGCATAATGCATTGTACTATATTTTATATTTTTTAAGTATATACATAAACTCATACAAATTGTTAATATTAATACATGTATATTTACATGCTATATATATAAAAATGTATACAAATATAATTTATACAGTTTTTTATTTTAAATTTAAATATTATTTAACTTACATTATATTATTATTACATAGGTAATAGTGTTTACTTATTATTTAATATACATTTTATAGGCGACACACATATAGGTAGTCTGTCTTTTTATATTGATTGTCCCCGGTTTGGCTGTTGGCTGAGAATCTGGCTTTCTGGTCTGTAAAAGTTGAAAACCCACAGATAAGTGGTCTTACCTTTTGTCATGCGCCCCCAGGCCACCGTGGACAGGAAGTATTCAAGAGCAGCTACAGTTCCTTGTCTCGTGACTGCGTCAGACACGAGGATTGTGTTGTTGAGATCAAAGTGAAGAGCGATTCTTCTGGAAGGTCTTCTTGGGATTGAATCAGTGGGGTCTTTATATTGATCTGCCCCGTCAGAGTTCACATCACTTCTGCATCCATTAGTTTGGTTCTGATCGATACTTGTTTCAGGGATCCTCTCCGGGTTATACATGGTGTTACAACGTATATTTATATTTATATGAGGATATATTTAAAACTAGAGTTGTTCATATATAAACTAAACAAAGATACTTAAGTGTACACGAGGATAAATATCTCTGGCGATGAATGCCTGGTGAATCCCTCCAGATTTCATCTGACTCATGCGGATGCCACACATCTCAGTCAATGGAAGAACAGCTGGGCACGTGAGGCTCTCCTTCTGTCGGTACAGATACATTCGTTGAACTGCATTCGGACGTTCGACTGAAAACCGCTGAGCTCTAAAACCGGCTTTTAGAATGACAGCATCACTTCCGTGTCGGTGTCAAATACCGCGAGAAAGAGCGGGGCTGCAGCGCTTTACGGGTGAATGTAGTGAGCGCGCCACCTACTGCTGCCTTCCTTCTCCTCCCGGCGAC